AACCCAGATCCCTGCTTCATATTTTCCTGACCCCATTTCGCCTGGTCGGGGGGGGGGAGGGTGCTGTATTCTGGAAGATCTAGGCTTCTGGACAGCCCTTGTTTGGGAAGTAGAATGTGTCTTCCTCATTCAGTGGTTCTGGCATTCACTCACTGAACACCCACGTTCCCGGCAAAGACCGAATCAGAGCCTTGGAGGTTGAGCCTTGGGGGTCTGATTTGGAAGCAGGCGGTCGGCCTTAGTTTTCCCTTCTATGGGCAGTGAAAGGAAAAGTCTCATCTGGGTGGAATCCTGTGCAATTCCTTCTCTGGCTCCTTCTTCCCCTGCCCTTGAGGGTCTGTATCATTTCAGCGCTAGGCTAGTCGGCCCACTCAGTTGGTAGATGCCAGTGCTCCACCTACCTCGGTGCAAAGGGTTAAGTGTCTCAGCGTGAAAGTTCTCTGGGCTTTTCTGCAAGAGCAGTGGCCCTGCCCCCCTTGCTAGGGCCGCCCTTTGGAGCGCTGGCCAGAGGGACAAGCGTTCCATCTCCCACCTTTTGGCCAGAGATGAAGGAAGGCTTTTCTCTAACTGCAAAAGACAAGCAAAGAGGGATACCGGAGGGGATCATGCCTGGGGGAGGCAGGGCACGGGCTGAGGTCACAGGAGGCTCTGCCGGCCCGTCCTGGTTCGGGCGCGGTCCAGCGGTGGCATGGGACTGTCTGCTCCTGCTTCAGAGTGCTGCCCACGACAGCGACCCGGCTTCTCCACACCTGCACGTCACCATTCCAGCTGCGCTCGTTAGAGAAGACTCGTAGGCGGGAGAGGCAGAAAGGAAAAATTTCTTTCTGGAAGCTTCCAGGGCAGAATCAAGCGATTTCAAACAGCAGTGAGTGCAGAAACTTCTCGGTTCCACTCTCATTTGGCATCAGCGGATTCCCCAGCTCGGGGCTTCCCAAGCATCAGTCTGACCTATCCCGGCTGTGACGGCCTCCAGTGGCTTCCCGGGGCCTGCAGAATCAAATACAGACGCCTCGCCAGGGTTGCGGGGGGCCCTGTCCGTGTCTTCCTCCCCTTGCTCGTGTCTTTATCGCTTTGTGGTTCTCTTCGGCCTCATCGGCCTTTAACCTCTGACCCCTGAACCCACCAGCTTGTTCCTGCCCCCCACTTCTGCACCGGCCGGAAGCCCTTCCTTCTCACTTCTATACCCTCCATCCGGTTTCCCTGAATGATTTTTTTCTTCCATCTCAACACACCTGCAATGATCTGATATTTGTTTATGTGGTTTTTATCCCTCCCCGTAAGCATAGGGGCTTCATCTGCCCTGTTCCCGGCATGTCCCCAGGACCTGGGGCCCAGTAGGCCCCGTTAAGTGTTTGCAGAATGAATGAAGGGCTAGTTGCACATTCCCTGGAGCTTCGAACTAGGGTTTGGATGCAATACCAATGACCTCCAGGGGAACTGGGACTTGAGAGTCCAGGGAGCTTTAGAAAAGAAAAAGACATGGGGTGCCTGGGTGGCTCAGTCGGTTAAGCGTCCGACTTCGGCTCAGGTCATGATCTCGCGGTTTGTGAGTTCGAGCCCCGCGTCGGGCTCTGGGCTGATGGCTCAGAGCCTGGGACCTGTTTCCGATTCTGTGTCTCCCTCTCTCTGCCCCTCCCCTGCTCATGCTCTGTCCCTCTTCCTCAAAAATAAACATTCAAAAAATTTAAAAAAAGGAAAGAAAAGAAAAAGACAAATTTGCAGTAAGGTGGGATTTTTATTATGCTTGTGAGGTCAGGCAACTGTAGGGGAAGAGCAAAGTGACATCTTAGGCTTGTCTCAAAGGAGGACATTTTGATTGTGCTGGTTAGAGATCCTAGGAACCTTCCCACTTATTCACCCCACCCCCAAGATGTAAAGGAAGAAGAATGAAGGTTTTACAGGCATCTGCGTGAGGTTAGAGCTGGGCTCGGGACTTCTGTCTGTTACTGGCTATTTGACCTTCAGCAAGTTATCCAAGTTTGCCAAGCCTCAGTTTTTCACTCTGTAAAATGGGGATAACAATAGTTCCTACTTTTTATTCTTTTTTTTTTTTTTTTTTTTTTTTTTTTTTTTTTTTTTTTTTTTTTTTGAGGTGGGGAAGGGCAGAGAGAGAAAGGGAGAGAGAGAATCCCAACCAGGCTCCGTGCATGGAACCCAATGCAGGGCTCTCTCCCAGGACTGTGAGATCAGGACCTGAGCCAAAATCAAGAGTCAGATGCTTAACTGACTGAGCCACCCTGGTCCCCCTAGTTCCTACTTTTTAGGATTGATACGAGGATTAAATAAATTGCGTAAAGCCCGGGGGCATTTCGTGGCTCATCACAAGCACTTGTTCTCAGAGCTTGTACCTCTTTTTTTCTTTTTTAGTATTTTTTTTTGGGGAGAGCGCAGGTTGGGGAGGGGCAGAGGGGGTGGGGACAGAGGAGCTGAAGCAGGCTCTGTACTGACAGTCTGACAGCAGTGAGCCCAACGTGGGGCTCGAACCAGTGAACCGCGAGATCATGACCTGAGCTAAAGTCAGACACTCAACTGACCGAGCCATCCAGGTGCCCCCCAGTAGCACCTCTTAATGCTTTTCAATCATCTTAGACTTTTAGGGGCCAAGAGCTGCCACTTTTTTTGACAGTTCTCAATTGTCTAAGCTAATTTGTCCCGAATTGATTCAGTCATTCGCTCACGACCCTGTCGTGATTTTGTCATATGTATGTAGCAGCTTTCCTTTTATTTATTTACTATTTATGGCCTTTTAAATTTCAATACATTTATTTAAGGATGGAAATGTGTCTTATTACCATGGGTGGAAAATCAGCATCACTTCCATTAATATAAGGCAACCAGGAAAAAAAAAATGGAAAAATGGAAAAATAAATTTATTTATTTTTTTAATGTTTATTTATTTTTGAGAGAGAAAGAGAGAGAGAGACAGAGCACAAGCAGGGGAGGGGCAGAGAGAGAGACATACACAGAATCCGAAGCAGGCTCCAGGCTCTGAGCTGTCAGCACAGAGCCTGACGCGGGGCTCGAACTCACAGACCACGAGATCATGACCTCTGAGCCGAAGTTGGACACTTAACTGACTGAGCCACGCAGGCGCCTCGGAAAAATAAATGTATTACGTTTCCTGTGGATACTGTCGCCTGTCCAAATCTGGGACTGGGCTTAGCATGTGGTAGAGAGATACAAAGATGTGTTAGCACCAGAGAGTTCCCCGATGCAGTCAGAGAGGAGATTTGGAGACGGACTAATGTTCTTACGATGTGATCCGGCATTGTTCCATGCTGCCTGCATTTCCCGTCCCCCCACCCCCCACCCCCTGCTCCGCTTCATCCCTGCACTCCTGGAGGCCTCAGGGCTACCCTTTCCATATGAGAGAGGAATTCAGTGCCCTATTAGGGCCCAAAAGACTGAAGACAAAAAAATAATTGGGCAAATGTGCATAGACGTTCCAAAACAATCAACTAGACCAGTGGTTCTCACACATGAGCACATATCACGCTCAGGTGGAGGGCTTGTTCCAAACATGTTAACTGCATTTCGGCTCTGGAGTCTCAGATCCATCAATCCGGGGTCGGGGGGGGGGGGTCCCAGAAATTGGCATTTCTGAAAAGTTCCCGGATGGTGCCGATGTGACTGGTCTCAGGACTCCACTTTGAGAACCACTGAGCTAGACTAATTGGAGGAGTCAAAGTTGAGTCTATGACTGGGTGTTGAGACCATTCTGTTAAAGAGAACTGTCAAATCCCTAGAGAGGAAGAAGGTCGAGGGCAAATCTAAAGCTCCTGTGCCTCTCTGTGTATTTTAATATTAAACCTCTGAGCAGGCTAAGGGTGTCTTCTGGCAAAGATGTTGGCTGTTGGAAGTTAGGCTGGCGTGCACAGAAATGATAAAGGAACCCAAAAGGATGCAGGTGGGGTACCCACAGCATCTGCCACAGCGTATATCTTTCCTACTGACATAAAACTCTAAACGGAAAAGACAAAGCCAGGTCAAAATTACTTGGGGTTTCTATTATCTATTATCCTTTTGAAGTCTGGTAACTCTTTGGGGCAGAGGAAGGTGACATTGTCTCAAAGTAGGACATTTTGACTCTAAACTCTTCGTACGTCTAAAACCGAATAGCTGTTACTGATCTCATCCTAAGGGGAAGCCATGGTTAGCTGTGCCCTGTTGCTTGAGGCTTTAAGAAAAACGAGAAACCACCTTTGGCACCACTGACCTGAGGTTTCTGCCAGGAAAGCTCAGTTAATCTGTTTTTCCATCTGTAAAATGGGAATGATAATAATATCCATTGTGTAAGGTTGTTATAAAGGTCCAATGACATAGTGTATGTAATATGTTTAGTGCCATGGTTGCCAGATGAATTTACAAGAAAACAGTGGAAGATTATTAGGATTGGATGATGACGATGACAGTAAAGATTAAAAATACAGACCAAAAGTGGAAATATCTTTCAAAGCATAAAGTCCAAGTGGACATGGTTGGTGAAAGAGTTGCTACCCACTCTGAACCACCCAGGACTGACCTGTGAGGGGAATGGCAACAGACTCTCTTCAGAGTTGATTTCCTAGGTGCCAAGGAGATACTTTAGCTGCCCTATCTCATCTCAGATTTTTGTATCCACAGCTTCTAGAGATTTCTAAACCACCAAGGCAGCACATCCATCTATTCATCCATCTACCTACCCACCTACCCATTCATCCATCCATTCATCTATCCATCCATCCATCCAACCACCATGTGTCCATCCACTCATCCATCTATCCATCCTTCCATCCGTCCATCCACCCACCGATCCATCCACCCACTCAGCCACGATTCCATCTACCCACCATTCCATC